TTCCTGCTGTGCCCTCTCAAGAAAGTAAGGACTTTTCATACTGGTTGTTCTGTATTTGTTTGTAGAACATCTGGTTTCTTGAATATATCTTTAATAGGACTAAAGAAGAAGCTGGCCACATTTAGATATTTAAATGGTGAAAAATGTAATATGCTTTAAGAAAAGCACTGCTAGAAACTTCAGTTGGAGAATTTATAGGTTCAACAAAAAGTGAAATACCAGTAGAACCAATGAAGTACGTCCAGGAAAATTTATAGGCAAAAGTAGGTTGGTTGGTTGGTTGGTTGTTTTTAATGGTTTTTCCCAATGTTTAAGCACAGTTAAGAAAATGTCTAACGGGTGAAGCCAACATTGTCATCAACTGTGTACAACTACATAATTAGGCAGAAAACTCTTTCAAAGTGCTTTTAGAAAGAGGGCTCTTCTGGCTGGCTATCATTCCTTAAGGTGTGTGTCAAATATGTTTTACTGCCTATATAAATCCAGAGGCAATGTGATTGTTCGGGTCACTGGTAAGTTCCGTTGTGCTCCTAGCTGATCATCTTCTGCTGCAGTGTGTATAAATAGCATGCAGGATAAGGGACAGCAAGGGCAGGTGTGACTAGCAGACAACAGTGCCCTTGTTGGGTGGCCACTCACTGAGTTCGCAGGGTTTGATCAGTGCTGTTTGCTTCCCAAGGCCATGTCTCACACATAGAAACACATGTGGAAAGGGAGACGGAGAGCTCAGATACCATGTTTCTGTTTTAAAATGTTAGTCAAAGTGACTGTGTCACTTTAGTTATCAGGAGTTAGCAAGAGTTAGCAAGAGTTGGCAAGTTCTTTGTGAAGAATAATGTTGAAAATGACCTCTTCTTTTCATGTTTCCTTTTTTTGCGTTTCAGCAGTAAAGAGTTATTGAGCAATTCACTGACATGTTACCAGCTTAGCCAGAAGTTCCTTCAGAGTTTACTCATGGGAAGTTCAGTAGGCTGCTCAATGGGTAAAATCTGCCCATACCAGAACATAAATAGTGTTTCTTTCAATACTATCCTTGAGAGCAGAGGCAACGCATCAGGGAGAAGTATGAATCCAGTGCATCTGCACGGCAGATCAAAGCAGTGGGAGGGAGGAGACCATGACTTTGGTCCCTGTCATGCTCCTTGTGGTGGTCTTCATGCCGTGGGAGTTGCAAATGCTTCCTGTCTCCCAGGTCGAGTTTCATGTGGGTTTTCATGTGGGGTGGAGAAAGACCCTGTGTCTTTCCAGCGCTGTGTAATTCTACCCTGTGTGTGATGACCAGGATTGATCCACTGAGAAATGAACATTCCCTGCTGTTGCCACGTGCTTTTTCCTAACTTGGGATGAATCGCCTACTCTTTCTGCATGTTAGCATCTGTTTCTGCAAAGCAGGGACAGTAATACTTTTCATCTGTAGAAGCATTATGAGATTTCCTTTAGGTGCAGAAAGCATTTTTAAAATACCAAGATGATAGGTGTTGTGTGGTGCATGTGCAAACCCTTGAAGAACCTAAACTGCCAAGCCATTTATAGCTTGGAAAACCAAAGCTCATTTTTAGTGGCAAACCAGGACACAGGCATGAAATAATGACATAGGGAGGATGGTAAGCAGATGGGAGATACTTAAATTAAAGTTTGTTGGTTTAGTGCCTTGTCCAGCTTATGGTAAGGTAACTTTCTGGTTTTTGTGTTAATGATTTGCCTTGCCTTCCCACACTCCGAGGGGCTGCTTTAGTCTCAAATTTAAGAAGTGCTAGGATTTGCTTTCCAGATGGTGTTTACTCTGCATAAAATAAAATGTTGCTTTTTAGTACTTCATCACAGTTGTGTTCTCTTTTATTTTAGAAATCTTCCAGAATCCCTGAGGATGACATCAGGTTGAGAAAAAACAGAGACCAAAACTGTGCCAATTTCTTGGAGCCAGCTACTGTGCTTGCTACAAAGGAAGAGAAAATGGAAATTGAAGTTCCAGTTTCTGAACATAAAAGCATCACCACAGTGGCTTCACCACATCCCATAGACAATCCAACCCATTTTTTTTCCCCTGCTGCCAGCCACAATGGACTTAAGGACAGACACGAATCTCTGGACAGTGAAGTTGCTAAAGAGATCAGATACCTAGATGAAGTGCTGGAGGCAAATTGCTGCGATTCTGCTGCAGATAATACCTTTAATGGGACATCCTCCCCTGAACCAAGTTCAGTCTCCGTTATGGATGGCTCAGGAGCATCTGTTAATGTCAATAATGATTCAGTACCCAGTGAAAGGGAAGAAACTGTAGCCGACAAGCAGGCACCCATGGTAGTTCAACCACCTGAAGCTAGCATAACAGATGAGAACCTGAAATCTAATGGCCATTCCTTGGGTGAACTGAAGGAAGACACTAGGGAAAGTCTCAAGGTGCCAGGAAGTCCCACTTCTTCAAACAGTTCTAGAAGATCCTCTAAGGATGGAGAGACAACTCTTACAACCCTTAAGAAAGAGGCAAAGTTTGAACTACGAGCCTTCCATGAAGACAAAAAGCCCTCAAAGCTCTTTGAAGATGAAGAAGAGAAGGAAAAATACAGGGTCCGCAAAGTGAGACCATCAGAGGAAATGATGGAACTTGAAAAGGAAAGAAGGGAACTCATTAAAAGCCAGGCTGTCAAGAAAAACCCCAACATTGCTGCCAAATGGTGGAACCCTCCCCAAGAGAAGACCCTGGAGGATCAACTGGATGAAGAGCATCTGGAGTCCCACAAGAAGTACAAGGAGCGCAAGGAGAGACAGCAGCAGCAAGGTGCAACACCAACATCCCCCAAACAGATCAGCTGCTCCTTTGTACCGCCAGAGCCAGTCAATATCAAGAAAGAGGATATTGTCACAGAGCAAATTGACTTCTCAGCTGCCAGAAAGCAGTTCCAGCTGATGGAGCATTCAGGTCCATCTCAGGGTCAGGCCCCACCAAGGCGGTCAGGAACACCCAAAATGTTCTCCATCAAACCCTTCTACAAGAGCCTCAATTCTCCACATGTAGACAGGCCACTGTCCTCCATGACAAGACCCATTTCAGTGTGTGGGCAAACAGGACAGCTTGAGGGTAACAATGCCACCGTTGTCAAAGCACAGAAGGTCTCCTATACCTCAGAAGATGGTACAAGTGCTCAGACTACCACTGCTGACCCAACAAGAGAGTTACCATGCAGTGATGGCTCCAGAGCTGGACAGACCTCAAAACTCTGGGCAGAGGATGGAGAATTCATGAGTGCGAGAGCAGTCTTCACAGTGGTGAAGGATGATGGACAGGGTGTGCTAGACCAGTTCCCAAAGGCAGCAAGTGCCTCTTCCCCTCCAGAGGAGCTCGACTCTGGTTTGGATGACTTGTCTGTCAGGTCTCAGGATACCACCGTCTTGGAGACCCTTTCCAATGACTTCAGCATGGATAACATCAGTGACAGTGGTGCCTCCAATGAGATCATGAGCGCCCTGCAAGAAAGCTCACTGGCTGATTTCTCCCTGCCGCAGACCCCACAGGCTGACACTCCAGCGGAGTGCAGGAGCGAAGGCATCTGCAAGTCGTTCAGCGACCCAGGCTGTGACTCGCCCTCCTCCGCCTTGACAGACTCCATGCTGATTGACGACCAGCTGGAGTACCACACTGGTCTGCTGGTTCAAAAGGCCATCCAACAAGCCATAGCTGAGCAGGCAAATAAAGCAAACTGCAAGGAAGAAGAAATCCCAGAGGAGAAGGAGATCTTAGTCAAAGAGCAGTCAGCCACCACCATGCCAGCTCCAGCCTCCAAGGAGCAGCAGAACCCCATGTTCGAGCCACCCCAGGTGTCTTCACCTGTTCAAGAAAAAAGGGACACCATACCAAAGACTTCAAAAGAGGAAGACTCAGGACTCAGGGAAGGGAAGAGTTTGCAGCAGTCACCCATGTACTCAGCCAGCCCGCCGTTCCTTGTGGAGGAAAATAGGCATGAAATTAGCTATTTCAGCAAGTATTCAGAGGCAGCTGAGCTGAGGAGCACCGCCTCCATCCTGGCCACGCAGGAGCCTGAAGTGACTGTGGGCCCTTTCAAGTTACGGTCAAGGAAGCAGAGGACTTTGTCAATGATAGAAGAAGAGATCAGAGCTGCCCAGGAACGAGAAGAGGAGCTGAAGAGGCAGCGGCAAGGTCTGCAGGTGGCACCGAGCCCTGTTATGAAGAGCGCACCACCCATGCCCACCAGAACCGTGTCTTACAAAACTGCACCGGGTAAGAGCCCAAAGCATCAGAAGGGAAGTGAAATGTGACTGAAGGGTCAGGTCAGATTCGGTTTTATGTCATTTTTGAGTGAATATGTCATTTTGCAGAGGGCAGGAGGGTTGTCATGACTTCATCTGCCTGGAAACTGCAGGCAGGAGGAGGGCATGGGACATCCCAACTTTCTGGCTGTCAGCATGCCTGAGGACATTTTTATTTTTTCCCAAATGTAGTGCAGAAGTAGCTTACATACCCTGTTGATCATCATTAGAAAACCCTGCACTCTATTCATCCCCTGCCACGTTGTAGCATGACATGTCTATCGCTGTGCTGCTCAGGCCACCCACTGAAATTTATGATTATCACAAGGACAGACAGCAGCGGTTTTTGCAGCTGAGTGGCTATTTGAAAGACAAACATACAAAACATTTTTAACAGGCCTTCTGTTGTCTTGAACGTCATTAAGTAAGTGCAAAGGTAGTGGGGATTTACGGAATTTGGGGGTTTGCATCAGATTTCTTTTTGTGTGTGTCTGTTTTGCTTTCTGTTTTCAGGTGTTTCTTGGCCTTCTTAATGAAGTTTGTCTGGTCAAAAGATATCCAGAGCTGTGAGTTGCCATGGATTTCAGCTGGTGTCATTCACTACTGAATTAAACAGGCATCATGAACAAAATGCTTAATAGGTTAAGTAGAAGTCCTCCTCTGACTGTGCTGGCATTCACAGCAGTTACAGCGTATCACTCTCCTCCTTCCCCTTTTTAAAAAATAAAATCAGGCATTCATGCCTTCTTAATATAATATAAAAAATGAAATTAAAAAAAAAAATAGAAACACATGCCAGGCTTATTTCTGTATAGTGATTTTTATGAGTATAGACCTACATATGCTTTGCAAGTACTTAGAAGTTTTTATTAACAGTGATCATTGTGAAGAAGTATTAATTTTACCCAGAGTACTTAAATTCCATCCTTATTTCCACTGGTGTAAATCTGAGCCAGTGATGCTCCCAAAGATTGTGCAGGGTGACCCTTTCTTTTGAAAGTCATGGCAAATTTGAATAAGGTCTGGATTTGGTCCATTACCTAGTCTGATTGTGAACTTGGAGAGTTGCACAGCACATAAATAGCTAATACTTGTTTTTGTTTCTTCTGTGAAGAGGATGATTTTAACCTGTGTTTCTTGCCAAAAAATGTAGCAGATGTCTATAATTTCTTTGAAGTGCTACTGTTATTACTCCTACAGAACAGCATCTTTCATAGGGAGTCTCCATAAACTGAGGTGTTCTGAGCAATGTCTGACAAGATGTGAGTGACAGGGCACCATAGACCTCAGCTAGGAGGACTTGTTGTGTAAAGGTGTGCTCATGACCACTTTCAAAACCACCATCATTTGTAGCTACAAGTGCTCAAAATTAGGCTGATAATGGTTGCTTTTTACTCAAAAGTGATGTTGGAAAGGCTGCTGGCACTACTGCTTACTTTAACAGAGCATCTGGGAAAACAGTGTAGTTCTTATTTCTCTGCACAACAAGGCATTTACTTTGTGTCTGATGTTTAAGTGTTCATTGTAAATTACATTCTAGTGAGAATGATAAACTTGTATTTATAATGAATCATTCCAGACAGTTTCCTTTAAATGTCCAACTGCCATATGTTCAGGAAAGAAAATTGGAATCTATTAGCCAGTGACTCAAGCTACTGCAATTTGCAGCTGGTGACAAGGCAATGAATTAATTTCTAGGAAAAGATGAATATGTGGCAATGTGTAAGGTTGTCACTGATCAAAAAAACCACAAAGAGCATTGCCGAAGTTGTTCTCAAGTCTTCTACTTCTGGGACTTTCTACACAGTGGATATGCTCAGCAGAGCTCTTACCTGGAAGAAATTAGCTCAGCACCCTTAGTGTTGCAGGGTGCATACCCTCAGCTCGTCTCATCATTGCTGTCCCTTTAGCCAGCTATGTTGCAGTTAAAGCTTGCAGGCATCCTTAAAAATAGGGAGAAGGGATACCATGCAATATCTTGGAAGATTGCAGGAACTGTCCTTTTATTTTAAGATTTACAGCACTTTTTCAATATTTACAAAAACAGAGGCAAAAGATGATTCAGCAGAGGCAACAAAATCTGGCTGTAGAACTTCATTGCAGCCAGTTACAAAGCTGATTTATGGAGCAGAAAAGAAAATCTACCTGTGGTAGGCACAGTAAGGAATATGCTGTAGAATATGTCTGGTACTGTAATCTGTACATCTAGTTTCACATAGAAAAAATAATAATAGTAATAATAGTAGTAGTAGTAATAATAATAATAAAAACCAAAGGTACTTCTGTCATCAAATTGCCTTTCCCAAAGAAAGAATTGGCACTCTTCTTTTAACATCAGGATACCTCAGCAGAAAGGGATTAGGGGGTCAAGTCTAAATTTGAAGAATCTGCTGCTAATCCTTAAGTGGGGAAGTGTAAACTCACCAGAACTCTTTGAGGAGGTGCGGTTAGCAATGGCCTGCCTATCAGGTTGCTTTTTGGTGGTGGACTGGGCAGAGTAGCTTTCCTAGGACTCCTGGTGGTCCCTGGTTATTTATTACTCCTGCCCCACTTCACTGGTTGAACTGTTGTTATGTGGATAACAGAAGCACAAACCACAAAAAAGGAGTGCGGTGAGCTGAACAGCTATTTTGACTGAACTGTGGAAGATTAACACAATTCATGTGGGTGTATGTGTGAAATAACTAATTGCTTTAGATAGCAAACAGGCTGTTTTTGCCACCCTGACATACAACTTACATACAACTCACAGTAACACTAAACTTGGTGTCTGCCAACCACCCAGCACAAGCCAAAGTGGTTCGTAGTAATAAACTTCTATACTGCTAACAAGTATCCTTTAAAGCTGCTTGGGATGCTTCAAAGCAGCCTTTTAACCCATCTGAGTTCACTGGAGCAAGACACACAGTAATTTCAGTGGAACAACAACTATGTGTTGTGTGCACACAGGACAAGACCTTCTCCAGGGTACTCCTGGAAAGGTGAGGGAAGAACCTGTGCAAACTGCTTTCACAAAAAGTCGTGTTTGCTGCATGAGGAAACCCAAGAAAGACCAAAAAAATGCTTGAGCATGGCTGAATGAAGAGTCATCATGGATCCCAAAATATTTGTAGAGCTGTATTTAAATTTGAACCTTTCCTGTCTTGCTTTGCTGCAGCACCTGCTGCACTTGGTGAGGTGTTGAGCAGCTGCATAGCAAGCCAGTGGTTTTCTCCTACAATGAGCAGGTGGTACACCATCCCTCCGGGGCAGAGCAGCTGGGGCTATTGATAGTTTATTTGAACAGGATGATGAGTGTGTGACATGAGAGGATCCAGTGTACGTTTGGTGGTGTAAAAATAAAGGTGGTTCCTTTTATTAGTACTTAGACTATGAACAATTTGTGTCTAACTTCCTGTAGTGCCTGGCTCCAGTAATCCTTTTCATCAAAGGAGGTGTGAAAATCATTGCATGAGGGGTCTTTGAAGGCTTTTCTGTTGGAGAGGAACCCTTTGTGAGTATTTGCTGTCTTGTGACAAGGTGTGGGGGAATCCCTAACACAAGAAGCTATGCCTGGGAGAAGCTTCCCTGAAGCTGCCACACTGCCTTTTTGGTGTTTGTCACCAAAGCATTGCCAGGTGAGGCAGAAGGCACATTGCACTCCCTGCACTCGTCTGCAGATGCTCAGACTCATCTGCATGCACATCTAGGAGAGCTTCCCGCCAAGCAGTCATCTTCTGTTGTGCTCAGTTGATGAACTACATGAGAGAATTTCAGTGGATGGCAAAAGCCCAGAGGGGGAGTTGCAGTTTAGAGACGCAAGTGATCGGGTACCTTTAAATCAAGTAACTCTTCCCTCCAAATAGTAAGGCACATGTGTGTGCTGTCTTCTTCTTTCTTCTCCTTCCTTTCTTCTCCTGAGTGACAGCTGTGGAGCATTAGCCTCTCTCAGAGGAATCACTTCAGCCTGAAAACCATTTTCTGCTTTCATTTTTTACTCTTTTTACTGTATACCACTGTAGGTAGTGAATACCTACACTAAGGAAACTTCTTAGGTTCAACTGCAGCCTGAAGATATTTTTTGTACAGTGGGAGGAGAAGCAGAAACTTTGGGTCAAGATATTTTTAATATTTGTGGCCGTTACAAAATTTTTAATGCCCTTTATACATGTAAAGAATAAGGATCAAGTATAATACATACGCATGAACCTGTTTTTAAAGTGAGAATTTTGAGAAAGGCTAGAGCAGAAATGGAGTCTTTGAGTTTATGGAAGATACTGTTTCCTTACCCCTTTATAGGCACCAGTATGAAAAAAAACAAAGTTCGTCATTCTCTTCAAGGATTCCTCTGGAATGCTCATCACTCATCCCCTGAACACCTCCAGCAATGCCTTAACAGCATACTAACCCAGCTCATTTATCATTTGCTTTCTTATTCCCTCCCTAGTGGAGAATGTGTATGAAATGAGAGGATCTTTGAGAGGTTCTTTTTTTAATGTTTGCTTTTTTGTGTGTTTGCATATTCATGTTGCTTACTTGGTGTTCAAGAAGACCTAAGAAGCCCACTTTTCACCTGGAGTGGTAATGAGGCTCCACATTACCAGAGGGGCATTTTTCTATATACTTGAGCTATCCCCTGACTTCAGCACAGACTAGTCTCCTAAACCAATCTGTCTTGCTGAAATACCTTACTTTGAAAAGTTTTCTCTGCTGTGCAGATGTCTTAAAAAATGCCATCAGCATCGGTAAAATAGTTGCTCTTGGTTGTGTGAAGCCCCATTCTTCCCATCTCCATTGTACCTTAACTAACATTGTGTGATGGCCCTTGGTACGGGCTGGTTACTTACTTAGTGGTGGTTCAGGCCCTTGTCCCAGGGCCTTGCCTTGGTAACTCTTTCTTCTTGATACTGGAGCAAATCAGCTGAGCATCCTTCCTCAGCTTGCAGTGAGTACTTGGACACCTGTCAGGCTCCACAGGGTGGATAAGTCACCATCACAACCCCTCTTGCTCCCCAGAGCTGTGCAGATGTCTTGGTTAGGAGAAAGCTAATCTGTCCTCAGCTCTTACACGTCCTTGATTTTGTGGAGAGGTGTCAGGCAATGTCTTGCAGCCACCAGACTGGGACACAGCAGCAGCTGCCCATTCCCTGAGCTTTCTCTTCCCCTCCCCAGGGCTTAAAAAGATTGTTGTCCATAGAAGCAGCTCCTGCCTGCCCCAAATAGCACAAGAGGTAGGAAATGAAGAGAAATCAAATTCCAGGAGCTTCCTGCTATATCCCTGAAGCCAGAGAGTGGGGGGAGCCATCACCAGTACTGGAGCCACAGAACATTTTTTGGAGTCCCTCTGAAAGAGGAGAAGAATGTAAATGTGTAGGTGGAGATTTGGGATGCTATAGCCTGTACTTGCTATCTTGCAACAGCTCTAAAGGTGATCTCAGGGGACTGCCTTCCCCTGGAGGGGAAGACACTGCTAATTACTACTGTTAATTTGCAAGTGTGACCATGAGGCTGAAGTTTTTGCTGGTGTCCTACAAGTGTGACCCTGTTTCCATGTGAGACAGCACAGTTCCTTTATTACTCAGCTTGGATTTGGGCAAGGACCACCAGCAGTGTCTGTGTGCATCAGGTGTGGGCATGGGACTGCAGAAGCAGAAAGTGCCTGTGATCACCATGTTTCATGATGCTTTTATGCTGAGTGACTCTTCTGCCTGAGAACAGTACCTTACCTGGATGAAAATCTGTCAGAAGAAAATTAACCCAGCAACATTTCTAACACGATCCAAACTGGCAGAATAGGTCTACACTGGACTGGAGCTCAGCATCAGGTTCACGGAGCTTTTCTGTGGTTGTTCTGAGAGCCCTGAAGCTTCAGACACCCCATCATCTAACTGCAACCTCACTGATGGTTGAGCTGGTTGCTTGCCTTTCTGCCACTGTTGGCACTGGTAGAATCTCTCTCTTCAACCTGCCTACCTGTTCTCACAAAATTTTTAGGAACCTGAAAGAGGCACTCCTCTGTGAAAAGTACTGAAATGACACTGTGATTTCCTGAGTTTTTAGTGGAATTCAAACACTTAGAGAAAATCATAGAATCGTTTAGGTTGGAAAAGACCTTTAAGATCATCCAGTCCAACCATTAACCTAACATTACCAAGCACCACTAAGCCAATTAAGGGTAGAGTAGCAATTTCGTGTTTCCTGGCTTGGTGCCTGGGTTATTTTTAATGAAAGTAAAAACTAGGAATCATTAAGATCGGAAAGGATCTCTAAGATCATCAGTCCAACCATCAACCCAACACCACCATGTTCACTAAAACCATGTCCCAAAGTGCCACGTCTACCTGTTTTTTGAACACTTCAGGGATGGTGACTCCACCACCTCTCTGGGCAGCCTGTTCTGATGCTTGACCACCCTTTCCATGAAGAAATTTTTCCTAATATCTAATCTAAATCTCCCCTGACACAGCTTAAGCCCATTTCCTCTCATTCTATTGCTAACTACTTGGGAGAAGAGACCAACATCCACCTCACTACAAATGGTTGTAGTGTAATTTCTTGTGGATGCAAACCAACAAACTACTGTTTTGCTGTGGGCAAATCTTGTTTCTAGCTTGGCTTCTATATTTGTGAAAAGGGAGCTGTGACAGTGTTCATGGTGACACTGCCCAGTATGTGCAGGACAGTTGTGTGTTGCTGCTACAGTGTGGAACTTGATGGGCCCTCCATCCAGGGAGGATGGATCTTCTCAGAGATATCCCCTTTCTAAAATGCAGATCCCCAAAACCTATGGTTTGCATTGTTTTCCAGGGGGAGTGGGGTGGAAGGAGCTCCTTTCAGGCGTGAGGCTTGTTCGTAGGTCTGAGCGTCGTGTGATGGTCTGCATCCCTGAGGGAAAGCACAAAAGCTGGGCAGACATCTGAGAAACCTGATTCTGTCTGCATTACTTTCATATATCCGAGACAGTTACTTATTAGTGTAAGAATGAAGGAATACAGCAAGATATCTGACACTTAATCAGGTCTTTTATTTTCAGCAGACTTTTTTACCCACTGGACCTAATGGGCAACGTGACAGTTGTTGTTACTCTCTCCTGCTGAGCAGTCCAAGCTGGCATGCATGGGTGCAGCTGGGCAGCTCAGGACCTGGTGTTGGCCCCCGCTTTGGCAGCGTAACTCGTGGTTGTCTGTGGAGCTGGTGCTGGTGCAACCCTGAGGAGAACCTGGGCCCATAGAAACTCCCCCTCCAGTCTCTGGTGAGATGATTTAGTGGAGACAAATTCCCAGCCTCATCCCTGCACCGTCTGGCTTAAGCTAAGCCTGTAACGAGAAACTAGTGATGCTGGGTTTTTCCATACTGGTCAGAAACGAAACAAGCCTGTCAAGGGGATTTCTTGTAAAAGACCTCTGTAGTGTCGACTCAGGTTTCACTTCTCCCTTCAAGAATTAATCCTGCTGATTCTTACAGGAGGTTTCAAGGCTGCTCTCTAGTGGCTACCGCTGTTGTGATGCATTTTGGAGGAGCAGCTAGGGTTTTCATTTGTCTCAGCAACAGGAAGTTTCATGAAAATCTGCACAATCCTCCTGGTTACATCACTTATTTGTAAGGGTTTGGGGGAGGTGGGCGGATATGTCCCTTTTTTCCTATCCTATCCATTGAACTGCCTTATTTCAAAGAGCTGCCATGCCATGGAAAAGGGAAGCCTATTTTGGTCCTGGACTGCTTTCTTCTGTTACAGCTGAGGACCCCTGCACCTTATTCCCATGCCCACAACCTGCCACCATCATCCTCATTCTTCCCACGAGGACAAGCTGGGTGGCTCACCCTGGATCAGCACCTGGTGATGAGAAACGCAGGCTGTCCTCCCCAGAGAAGCATGGGTTGTCCACGCCCTGAGCCATCCCACAGCTCGTTGCAGTGGTCTTCTTGCTCTGGCCTGCCTTTTACCCAGCTCATCAGCTGGGGTCACTCTGCCTAAAAGAGGCTCCCCTGGGTGAAATGGGCTCAGTCAGAGAGCAATCTGACTCATCTCTGGCTTTCCTCCCACCAGGAGACTGAAGGGCCCTGTCTGAACGAGGGATGTGTGGGACCGAGACCCCATCCTGCTCTGCCACAGGTCTCCCTCCAGGAGCACCCTCTCCAGCTTGCAGGAAACAGCTGCAGCGAAGAGTAGCACGAGGGACCAACCCAAAGCCTTTTGCACTTACAAAGCAGATAAAAAGCACTGGAAGAAGAGAAAAAGTTAGCAACACTTAACAAGGTGCCTTCTTTGGACATCTGGCACATGGTCCCCGGCGTACAGCAGTGGCACCCTGTGCATTGTATAGTCTGAGCCAGAAAAAAAATCATCTTGCAGTTTTCCAGAATCTTACAAACACTTCCAGATCACTGAAATGTGTCCTGGAGGAGGGAACAGGGGTAATTCAGCCAGATACTACTGTAAATAATAGTGGTGGGTTACATTTATATTGTATCATTTGGTACATCTTCTAGGTTTTGTAAAAAGATTTTGTAGTGTTTTGGTGTAGTGTATTTCAGGAAGAGGTAGAGTGTTTCAAAAGTTCATGACCATCCTGATTTACCAGATTGTTTCATAAACTTCATTCCAAACTGCTTCTTCATTCAAACCCCACTGAAAATGCTTCTCCAGCTGTCATCATTTGGAAACAACTGTGAGTCCTTCAGCTTGGAAAGGGTGTTCCTTTTCATGTCATTGCAGGAAAGATAGAGAAGATCAAGCCTCCTCCATCACCCACCACGGAAGGCCCCATCTCGCACTCTGACCCGCCACCCGAGGAGCCTGCGGGAGCCCAGCGACCCAAGAACCTGATGCAGACCCTCATGGAGGATTACGAAACACACAAAACTAAGAGACGAGAAAGGATGGATGACAGCAGTGTAAGTGCAATTTTCCTTTTCACTTTTTGCTCTGCAATAGAGACCATGACTTGTGAGAACCAACATTCAGACAATGAAAATATTTATTTCCCAAGAATCTGATCAGATCACCTAGCAAATGTGTAAGGATTTTAACACATTGTAAAGGTCAGTGTGTTTGAAATGGCAGGATGAGGGCCAATGGAGAGGAAGAGAGAGTGTCACTGCAAATATCAAAGACAACTCATATGAAGTTTCTTTTTAATTAATTAATTAATAATAAAGGCACTGGGTAGCTGCCCTGCAATTGGTGGACTCTGTTAATTCACACATCTCCAAGACCCTCCAATGGGTTATTTTAGTGGCTCTTCGAACTTTGTGCGTCAAGTATGTATTCATGCCTGCATTCATAGACTCCCGAAGTCTCATCCCAGTGTGCTCAGGGTTCAATGTAGGTAAGTGGGAAACTTCCCTAGAAACCACCCCTTGCAGAATTGGATTGGGAATGTCTGAGAAATTAACTTGGATCCTTCAACAGGCAGCATGCTGTTTCCCACTGGATTTGTTGTCTTTCCTCCACACAAACAGAAAATCAGCCAGAATTTCAGTTTGTGAAATGGGTGCCTGCATTTCAGTCATTACTGTGGTAGAGTTTAACCCAGTTAAGGTGTTCTTTCTTGAAGGCACTAATAAGAAGAGCTATGAATTTCATAGCTGGAAGTAGCAAATTCAAGTGCATCCATTATAAAACCTTTTTCCCAACAGAGTACAAGGTGTTTCTTATTCGGACTCATTATTACCGTGGGCAGTGAGTGCAGAAGGTAGTGAGATACAAGTGTGATGCAAAACCTCTTAAATGGACTGCTTGCAGTGTTTGCTGAAGCAGCCACAATCCTGCAGGCATTTCCCAGAGATGTCAGAACAATGACCACAGCGCCAAGGAGCTCATTCTCCAAACAAACTGCTTTCTAGTAATTTTCATTAAAGGTAGTCTCATTAGGTGTATAGAAGTAAGTGAAGGTTTGTAACATGAATACTGAACTAGTCTGGCAGCTTTTAATCATTACTGGTGAATATTGCGCAGTAGCATAAGGTACTTAAAATCAGAAGGAATGCAGTGTGGAGGGGTCCTGTTGCATTTCTGCTGGCTAACGAAAAGGTAGTAGGAGAGCTGACTCAAAATGTAAACAGATTAATTTCCAGTGCACACCAGAAACTTTCTGGTCCCTTCTTCTACTGAAGCCATTGAAAAACAAGATCTTGTTGTCCATCAGGCTCCTGCTGCCTTGTAGGAAGCCAGCTCACACACAGGAGCGTGCCTTGTGCTGGTAGCGGCACCTTGGGGCTGTGTCTTGGGAAGGAGCTGCTCTCTGGTTTCCCCTCCCTCCCCAAGGCACCCACCTGCTCTAGTGGGTGCTGTTTTCTGGGATCTCCCCAGAGGATTTCTTTCCCTGAAGGGCGCCTAGAGGCTTGCAGGAGATATGTCACACCCTTACGCCCTTTGCAGAAGCCAGGAGGAACTTTAAAAAAGAGGGGCATAAAACTCCTGCCATGCAAACCGGAACTGGTCCTCGTGAGTCCTGCAGAGAGCATCTGTCAGACTGGTGGCTCAAAACCTCGGCACGGCAGAGAAGCTGCTCTGCTAAAGAGGTGACAATCAGCTGGTGCTCGCCCTGCACTTTTCCTCCAGCTCCGTGAAGAGCAGGTGACTTGCCCAGCCCATGAAGCAGTGGCCTGTGGCTGAAATCTTCTCCCACAGCTGTTACAGTCACGTGCCATTTGTTGTGCATGTTGTAGCACACAAAAGACAGGCAAGACGTCATTAGACCTAGCTCCCTCTGCTCAGTTACCCAAGTGCAACTCCTCAGGTGCTTGCAGAGCTGCATATGTACCTCCTAGAAAGGAGGCTGGCTGCAATTGCACAGTCTCTTCTGCAGTTAGAAGTGAGCCCTGATGTCCTGACTGGAGCACTGGTCTGGGCAGCATCTGACAGAAGAGGTCAGCCAGCTGGGTGCCAGCTCTGGGTGCCAGCTCAGCTGTCCGCTGCTGCTAAAGCTGCCCAGGCACTGACCACCCAAAGATGTGCTGCCAGAGCATTGGTGTCAGTCAGACAACTTGTGGGATGGATCCTTTTCTGGGACAAATTGTCAAGGCTGCAGTGAATTTACAGAGCCCCAGTGCACACCGAAGTCCCTCAGTGTTGTGGTTTGTTGTCATTCTCCTCTAAGTCCATTGCATACAGCCAAACAAGATTTATCTTCTTTGCTGCTGCCTGCCCAAAATCCTATTAGAGGGCAGTGTCCTGCAGAGCCCATGGAGAGCTTCCTCTGACCAGCAGGAGTGTTTTGTTTCTCTTCCCTGTCTTTTTCCACTCTCCTTTTGTAAATGACTCCCGCCATTGACAAGGGAAAGATAATTCACATAAGAAGTGCTGCACTTGTACCACTGTTAGTTTGAGCTAGTATTTTACATGCCAGGCTAAACAATAATTGTTTAAACAACAAATAGCTTAGATTTGTCAGCAGAAGACATTGGACCATGTGCTCAGAAAGATTTGCATAACTAACGAAACAGAAGAGCACATCACCAGCCTGTTTTTAAAAATATTTGAAATCTGGTGGGGGAAGGAGTGTAACTGACAACCAGACAGGCAGCTGCCACTTGGAGCATTACGTCCTGAGAGCTGAACATGGCTCAGCATTGCTCTTTGTGAATCAGGGGAACCAGAGACTTCCTCGGGTACTGGGAGCAGTCAGGGTGCTGTGGCACACAAGGCTGAACAGAGCCAGCACTTCTGCAGGGGCAGAAGGCAGCAGCCACAGTCTCCTGAATGGCATTATGGAGAGGTTTTTGATGTCCATGGAAACTTCTCCTCATATGCTGAGCACATGAGCAGTACTGATGTATAAAGCTGCAGTTTCTCCCTACATAAGACACACCAAAATGCAGGAGGGTGGTTTCAGCAGGACATCTACCCTGCCTCTCCTTTAAACATCGCTGCCTTCTGTTTTATGTCTGGCTTCAGTGGCTACAATGCGGCCACTGTGGCTGGGGCTTGCAGGTTTCACCTTTCAGAGGCACAGGGCAAATCAAGCACATCTGGTCTTGGGAGAACTTCACTGCTCAGGCAAAGGGGCAGTTTCTTCCAAAGAGGATGTGTTACGGTGGAGGTTTCAACAGGTGAGAAAAAGCGAAAAAGCAGCAGCAAGAAAACAGGTCAAGCACTGATGGTAAACAAGACTGAGACTGGCCAAGCAACGTCATTAAAAAAACACCAAACTGACTAATCTAATTTTTTTTTTTTTTTTATGACACTAAGTTGCTTGAAATCCTATATTCTGGGATGTGCCAGTCCTTGCAATTTCCTTATTTTGTTCTTGTTTCCTAGTTATAACATGCTTGTTCAATGTACTAATGCTGGTCTTTTCCCTTTCTACCAGTACACCTGTAAATTACTGTCTAGCAAGGTTACTTCTGAGGTACTTTTCAACTGCTTATTTATTTTTGCTTCCTCTTGCATGGTGATTCCAAGTGCATGTTGCTGCAGTTTGCATTTTCATGCTGTGTGCCAGTGCTGTTTCATATCAAAACTGGGATGCAGATGTGTGTGGGATATTCCTTCTTATCTCTCATCAACAAATATTTGTGTGGCTGGTTTTCTAACCCTTGGATTCTGGTTACAATTTCTGGCATGGGAGGGATTGTAATTAAAGGGATGGGAGCTGTTGCCCAGGACAGCAGCATTCCTGAGGCGTGAAATGAGAACCTCTCCTTAATCCCTGCTACCATTTAGCTGGCAAAGCTAAACCTGGGATCCAAGCATCCTCAGATGCTGAGTGAAACTGCTGTGGCTTTCCTTTGTCTCTGATTACCATGTATTTAGCACTATCAAAACCTATAGTATTCTGTAAAGAATCCGCACACCAACCTTTCATCTGTGGAAGAAGAGTGTCAGATCCAAGCGCACAGCCTCAGTCTGGTGAATTTTGTGAACCTATCCTTGTCCCTGTGTGTTCTGATGTGATGACTGATCACAGTCCCACAGCTTAGCATCAGTGTTGGTCTCAGAGTAGAAGAAACCCAGCCCTGCTAAAGAAAGGGTATTTACAGTGACATTTAGTATTTTAGCAAGGCAATAACTTGCACAGTCCTTATCCCTACAAAGCTGGACTCTGCCAAATGCAACAATTTTAAGAGAAGGGAGTTGATACCAACTGCACTTTTCCAATGTTTCTAGGAATGAGGTGCTCAATAATGTGGACATTTCAATTGCCTGTAATTTTCTGTGCAGACATACATGTAAATCTGGACTGCTCTAAAAGACACAATCAGATTGTGGTAATGACTGACATTTGTTCGTCCAGCATCAGCATTTTTTTGTAAACATGAACCTTCCACTATTTCCCTATTCTATAACATATTTGACCACATCAGCTACCTCAAGACAAGTATATGAACATTTTCTGTCCTGGAGAGTAAAGCAAAGTCAAGTCTCTGCCATTTCCTAGTCATTAAATAATTTAGTGTGCGTTTTATCTCACTGATACAAGCCAGTGATTGATCTTTGTGTTGAGTATTTATAGAGAGTTAACCAGTATAAGAGCAGTATGCTTTCAGAGACCTGGTTTTAAAGACAGGTTGGGCCTCTTCTCCCCCGTAATATCTGCACAATAATCTGAGTTACAATTTATGAACAGTAAGTAGTGATCAGAACATTTGATGTTGTGTGAGGGGCAGAAACTCAGGCGTAGATTTTTACATGCGCAGCCCTTGGCCTTCTTCTGGGAAGGGTTGTGTGTCTGCCTTGTAAAATAATAATGGCGCAAGGAGTAATGAGCTGGAAATTAATGTGCATGGACGGGAAAGGGGGTAGAGATGAAAAAGGCTGTAGGACATGACGACTCTGTATGCAGGTGAAAGTATGCCACCTGGCTAATCCCCAGTGTTAAGCCTCAGACTGAAGAAACCATTTGGTTCTCCCTGGAAATCTGTAGCTGAAGCCAGGCAGTTGTTTCA